GCCATGGAATAGGGAGTATGATTAAGATAGGACGTTGAGAAACACGTTAGTCTGGCTTCTCCATTTCAGCCTTTCACATCATTGAAGCAAGCATGCCTCCCCGCCCGCACGAACAGTGCTACTACAAGGCGGTGTCCCCTGGGGAGGAGCTGTATTATCTTATTTATGTAATTAGCTGCCACCGTGTTATACCCATTTGCAGTTTAAATAAATTTAGCTTATATTTATATTTCTGAGAGTATTAAGAAGAGCAGAATATGATAGCGACCACTTTTTAGTTAGAGCTCTTATTTTTGTTTCTTCCGCAGACCTAACTTCTCAAAGATCAAACTACCAGAAACTCATGCCCATGTTACCCAAAAATATGTCGCTTAGCTTACAAAATGACTCCACTAATTTCCTATATACATTTAGATTGGCAAATAAAATGCAAATAAATGTAGATCGGCGAGCAAGTGATTCGAACAAATAAAAACAGTAATCCATGAAGTAGCGTTTGAAGCATTCGGTGAGAAGCCCAATATAAACAATGACTAAGCTCAGGAGACCCCAAAGATAGAACAGCATATAGTAATATCTATAGAAGGGTTACAAGAGCGGTAACAAGAGCTAAGACACTGGCTTGGGAAACAAAATGACCTGAAGTAAATAGGTTAATGGGAAGCAATAGGTCTAGAGAGGCATGGAAATCAGTAAAAGAAGTAAAAACAGATGTTGTGTAAATACAGAATATCACCAATCAGTAATAAACAGTAGGCAGCATATTTTCAAGAACTTCTGAGAGAGGATAGAACAGAATACAAATACATCAGTTATAATGCAAAAAATGTATAAATACAGGATGGCATCCCAAAAATAACTCTAAAAGAATTAAATAACGCTCTGAAGGGGATGAAAAATAATAGATCCCTAGGCCCAGGAGGGATACCGGTTGAACTGTTAAAACTCTCCGGATCAAATGAAAGAAATTATTGTAAAACTATTTAATAAAAGTCTCATTGATCAAGAAGAAATTCCCCAAGAATGGAAAAGAGAAGAAATTATACCGATTTATAAAAAAGGCAATAAAGAGAAATGTGAAAACTGTAGGGGCAATAGTGTCAAAGTTCAATTAGTAGAATATGGTTGAATAATTAAAGGAAGAATTGAGACCGACATCTGGAAGAACAAAGTGGTTTTACAGCTGACCGTTCATGTGTAGATAACATTTTCTGCATCCACCAATTTTAGAAAAAAGGAAAGCTTTGGAAGAGATTCTCATTTGCTTGTTGACCTCCAAAAAGCCAATGACAACATTCCCATTAGCAAACGATTTAAAATTTTAGACCAAAAATGTAATTTGAAATTAGTTGAAACCATTAACAAAATGTACAAAGACACTAAAGGTGTTATGAATGGAAACGGACAAGTATCAGATGATATAATAATTTCATCAAGGATTAAGACAGGGGTGGTGAATGTCCCCACCTGTTTTTAAAATGTTCATTGCCGAAGCTCTGAAAGAATGGAGGAGGAAATGCAGTGTGATTGGAATAGAAATTGGAGAATCAAAACAGGATGTTCTACTTTTCGCGAATCTAATCATCGCTGAGTATGAGCTGGATATTAACGTAATGTATTAACGTATAATGTAATTTATTGAGTATTTATTTGAAATATGCTCCAACACTTGAATACAATGTACAATAATTACAATAAACAATATTGATCCGTTACTAGAAGAAATGTTCCTTCACCACTCGGTGACTTCCCTTCACGATTTAGTGCGCCGTGGCGAAAAGTCCATGGTTATTGCGGTTGGCTCAGATGGATTTAGGGAATTCGCGGATAAATTCATAATTTGAATGTTCAGATGCTCGTGAATAATTTTGAATACTCATAATTTCAATCCAATCTGAGTGAATGCAGGAAACTTTCACTAGTGTCTTGCACGCGACAATGAAAGATTTACGAAGCCGAACTTGGGCGACCGATTCCACTGCTCGCTTCAGTGCGTCCTGCTTGTTATCTCTATTACGCCAAACCCATCTCACCTCTTGCTCCTCTCACATAACAATGTTTTTCCGGCATGCCCTCGGTTCGCTCCACAAGTCTTTCACCCTCCTTCCGAACCTGTAAGCTCTCAAATTCGTCCCTTCCGTGAATATTCGCTGTCATATTGGATAAAGCTTGCTACGTCGTGCTTAATTCCCAATCGCTGGTCGAGTTTTCAAGGAACCTTTGTGAAACTGCCCGTCGCTTTGGCGTCTGCGTTAACTGCATCATATTAGCTAATTTATCAGCTCCGGGGACTTTGAGCATTGCAGGACCAGGCCTGTTCTATAAACAGGGTGCGTGCGAGAAGAGGATGGCTAACGGGTGTAAAGAAATATGACCCAGAGGCGAAGCTTCCCCTCCCATCGGCGAGTGCAGACTCGGGCGGGCGTCGTAAATACCTGGGAAGGGGCGAGGCGAAGAGGCCCACTAGCGTCGCGATCGCAATGTGCTTTGTCAATCTTACAGACGTTTCCTTACTTGCAATCGGATTTCACATGAAATACTCTGGTTGTAGCTCTGATTGAATATGTGCTGCCACAGTATTATTGACCGTGTGTCGTTCAATACTTTTCGTAATACCACCTTCTTAAGAGGTCATGTAGGAAAATAAGAACTGTATTTATTGTGGATAGGAGTACTCATACGCCATCTTTTGTTGCAACTCACTTGTTTCGATTGTTAATGGATACACTAAAAAAATGACCATTTCACTCTGAACCACAAATCTATGGTTACGTGTCTTCCAGTTGTGACAATTGAAATATATTTTGTGACAAGTACATGGGGGGGGGAGAGAACCACAGATATTCATTATCATTACGTCTTAAGGACATTCATTATCTTACGTCACTAACGTTTAGGTCTCGTTCACAAACTGCCGCTATTTATGTGGTAAGGTTTGCCACCCGTACACTTTGGGGGAGCCAGAAAGCTTGGTCGGGCCATCAGCCTCGGTGGATGAGACCTATCTTGTGTGATGTTTGCCACGCGTACACTTCGAGCGCCAGAGTGTTTAGTCGGGCCACGGTGGCGGGCCATCAGTCCCGTTCGGAGATTGAAATAGGGACTCATCAAGGGAAATTATGCATCTGGAGAAAATGTTCACGTATTTTAAGTTTCAAAAGAGCGTAATAATATAATAGTATCTGCTGCTTCTATCTCATGAGAATGCTCGTAGTCATTCAGTGGTAAGGGAGAAATGATCTTGTGAGGTTAAGCCCACATTACGCTTCTTAAATAAAATAAGTACTTTTAACGTATAATTTATGATTCGATGCAGGTTTATCATGTGTGTGTAATAGAATATAATGCTTAGTTTGGAAAAGTTGAGAGTATTCTGCAGTGTTTGTGGCAAATTTCAAAAATCAAATCGGTAATTTCAGATATTTTATAATACCAATATTTCTCATTGAATACCTATAAAGTATATATTTTAAAATTTGAACAGAGGCTGAGACAATCTTGCAAGATTAGATATTGTAATCATGTTTTATTTTTATTTAATTTTTATTTTATATATTTATAAATAATATATTACTAGTAACATTCTCTTTACTATCCTAATATTTCATAACCTGCATTAAATTAGTTTTACATCTAAAACTTGTTCCACCTAGCAAGGCAAAAATTATTCAATTGCGTTTTGTCAAATCTTTGTCCCATTTTTTAAAATTATTAATCATTTAAATATTTCAGGTATACAACTTGACACCTAACATAATTTATTAACTTATTTTCAATTTCAGTATAAGAATTAATTTTAATAATTGTTGAAAGACATTGTATCATTGTGCTAACATCGAAAGTGTTGAATAAAATCACGTTAAAAAAACAATTTTTCAAACCTTACATTCCTAGAAAAAATTAGTCAATACTTAAACATAGTGACAATGTCCAAACGAAGATGTATTCGTCTTTTTCTCAAGTTTCAAAGTGTATCTATACATTCTGTATGTAGCTTATTTCTAAAGTTGCGAACGTTCATGTAATTACATATTTTTGGTTGTATCTCTCAGAAACTTCAAATTTGTCCTATAGCAAAATATTAGTCAGAGGTAGAAAACTTTATATATAATGCCCATTTTGTGTATTGTATGCTATGAGCATTTAGTTGTGTTTTTTGCACTTTTTTTCAATTTTTGGAGGTCAAATGACATTGATTGTTGAATTGAAAATTATCAGTTAATGCATAGGATAAAGTTCCATGCCTCAGGCTAGGATAGAGAACTGACGGCCCCAACCAGCAACCTAAAACTTCTGAGGAATAAGGTGTGTGTGTGTATGTGTATATATTTTAATATATTATATATATTATAATATTATATATATACATATATATGTATATATATATTATATAGTATGCATATATATATGTATATATATACATATATAGTATATTATTATGTTATATATATACATATTTATGTATATAATGTATTATATATATATACATAATATTTATATATTTTTAACATATATTATGTATATTATATATATGTATATATTATATATCGCTCAAATCAAAGCAGTATAGATATTGTATATTGCGTAAAACCTGCTATCAAAGCTTTTTTTGTGTGGCAAAATCCAAATATTTTTTGGGCAAATACTGCTTGGCATACATTATCAATTCTTAAGATTATCGACCGGACTGTCCGGACTGTAGTGCCCTTGAACTTGAAGTTGGCTCGTAAAAAGTTAAATTAAAAATGCAACCAGTACTTTAGGAGCAGTGAAAACAATTTGCTAGGCTATATGAGTTACTATCTCAAACACAGCGCAGCAATTGTGCTACTGAGGAGCATCGGTACATTGGTCCCCGGACCAATGAACCGACGGGATCAGTCCTGGCCCTTCTCAGTTCCGTGGGTCGCGGTTGAGCTGCGGAGCGTCGCGGGCGCGCGCGAGTTACAGTTTGCGCGCGCCGATCCTCATGTGAGTTAGTGTGTGTTGTTTATGCGCAGGTTCATGGGAGTGTGCGTGCATGAGGGCCAGCTGCACGCGCTCACCGAGGTGAGTACGCCACAAGCGCACGCGCTTGCGCCCTGCATTCAGAGCCGCCCTGCGCCGCCGCATTCAGATATGTTTTTATGATTTTCAAACTTGTATGTGGGCAACTTTAAAAATTACTTGAAGCCACGTTTTTCTATAAGGCGTGCATAAGGTAATGTGGCCTGTTATTTGTTACATTTTCTCCAAATCGTTACACTATCAAAATTCTGCAAGACACAATACTAAGAACGATGAGTTATGTCGATTTAAAACAACACCAACAACCTTCTTTATCAGTCTTCTGTGGTCATGTGGCTGTTTATTTCTGTACAATCCTGGTTGGTATCCTGTTCGCGGGACTATTCTTTGCTTCTTGTTAAACACACTCCTTTCCTTTCATGACCATTTGCCCTTTAACTTTCTCTTTGTGCTACTCATTAGTTTTCCTGAATTTTAGTTCATTTTTTCTGTCCTCATGTTCGCGATTTCGCCTCTTCGCAAGTCCCAACTGTCACCACACTGTGATTTTTATGAGTATTTGCGTGCTTGCCTGTGGAACTTTGTGATTTGGTTTCTTTGGATGTTCGGAAGTAGCAGTTTAATAAATTCATATTCTTGATGCAAATTCTGCGACAAGAATTCTTTTCCGCGTTTTGGGGATAATTGTTAATGTAAATAAACAATTGGAGGAACATTTTCATAAAATTATTCTGAAATTGAAATGTCAGAATCGCAATTCCTATTATTCCGCAGTAAATTAAGTTGCAACTTATCGACATTTCACTTTATTTGTAGTTCATTTTCCAATTACGATATTAGAAAGTTCTAATGGAAAGTATCTTTTGAAGACGGTAATAAATTTACCAATTACCTTGAGTTGCGGTCGAGTGCCTCTCATCCTTGGAATTCCTTCAGTGAGAGTGCAATGTATCGGCACTACAAATGTTAGCATTGTGAGTTTTGTAATGTGCATTCTCGCTCTAATTTGTTCCATTCGACAAGTAAAGTAAGATTAGCATGAAATTGCATGTGAATATTGGGTTTAACATTATTAATTAAATTATATTCCTGTACCAAAATTAAAATGCAGTAGAATCCCTTTGTAAGAGATACAAGAGAACATAAGTTTCTCTTATTGCCAGGAACTCATAAGTGGCGATATGCCAATAAAAGTTCAATAGATATGCTCTTAAGGTTTCGTAAAATTGTTTCTGTTCTCTGCGTGTAAGATTCGGTGTCTTTTTTCTCAATATTGGATTAATATTCGTACCCTATCACAATAGGCAGTGTCACAAATTACCTGCATGTTGAGTCTCCCTACATGCAAACAGGCAGCACTTATCACCAGATGATGAACAGCACGTGAAAACCATGAAAAACCATGAAAATCACCACGTTGGTGAGAAGCTAAAAAGTACTTTAATATGAGCTGTTCAATTTTCCATGATCTGCTCCCCTGATTGTAATCAACAAATCTTGAACTGACTCTTGCGCGATCGCACACCGCCTAGCGCCTTCCACAAAACCACACGCAGGGGAAGTGAGTGGGATTTTACCCCTCACAGAAGAGCTGAGTTATTTCTTGAAGGACATTTTTGCAAATGGGAATTTTCTTCAGCAGCCTTCGTGGAAAGTGCTTGGAGAGTAAATTCATCGGGTCACCCGACTCGCCGCTTGGGAAAATTTGTAGTTTCTATTTCTGACTCTCACTGGGGAAGAAGAAAATTCCTGTTGGACCAATATTCTGTCTGCTCTACCCGGGAAATTCTTGTAAGGGTTTAAAGGCGGGAAGGATACCCCAAATGAAAAGTCTGCAAAAATGTATTGCTTTGCAATTGTGCCATTGCCTTGCAACGTATGCGGTGTGCGAAGTTGGAACGTGACACAGTTGACTGGAAATGAAACGCGTGGGTTACCGCTCTGATGGGGCACTGCTCATCGAGAAGCGAAGTCGGGCTCATTGGGAAAGTGAGTCACGTTCTCTATTTCAGACTTTGTCTATTTATCTGACAAACTGTATAAAAGAATCAAAACAAAGAACCCAGGATATAGACATTTACGGAACTAGTACAGAAAGTGAGTCTTTGGGGTACAAAATGAAATGACGACGAACGAGGTGCTGTTAGGAGCGGAGTCTGGCATATTAGAATGAGTGTAGCAAAGAAGCTTTCGTACGAGTTGCGTACATTATTTTTCGTAAGAGTTCATGGAAACTATAAAGTATATACTCTTTAGATCATTCTCAATATACAATGATAGTAACGCAGATTCAAGACGCTAGTGTTTTATTTATTTTGCAGTACCCGGTCATGATTTCTTTTGCGTACCGCATATGGTAAAAGTACCCTTTGCCATACGCATACGGCAAAGAAACGAAACACTTTCCTTTCAATGAACAATGGAGGTAAACAGTTTCTATCAGGGGCGACCAGAATGGGAGGGGGGCAGCTAGGCCTACTTGCTCTAGGCCCCGAATTAATTGGGGCCCTGATTTTCATTTTTTAAAAAAAATTAAAAAATGTAAGCATCTCTGATCCAAATTTAACGCTAGTAGTCATGTCTGATGCTAGGAGAAATGAATTCTGTTTGAGTTGGGGGGGGGGAGGTTTTGGTTGGAAAGAGGGGTCCCCAAGGATTAACTGCCCGATGCTCCTGGTTTTCTGTTGGCGCCCTAGTATTTATGCAAGAGTGCTGAAAAAGAATTTGAATATCGAGAGTTGGTGCAAATGGTTCATTTGCACACGCATTTCTGAAGAGATGGAACGCGGCCGCCCTCTACACTTTCCTCCTCTTTACCAACTTGAAATGTAGAAACGCAAGTATTAATTTGCGTGCTCACATCCACGATTCCTCGCAAATGCATGTCGATCCACCCGAAATTAGAATCCTATTTTTAAAATATCTGCATTAAGTAAAAAATCAGAAAGAAAGGAACGTGTCACGTTCATACGTTCATAACATTTTATAATAAATTAACAAAAATAAGTTAACAATCAATATAACCATTTTTTTCCTAAATTTTGTGCTGATTAACTTATTGATCGGCATAATCTCTGCTACTAATATCCAGTGTTAATCTATCAGTACGGCAATAAATAATCACTTCTATCCTAAGTGAACTCGCATCGAAAATTGCTTCCTCGAATCACAAAATAATTATTTCAGCAAAATGTGTTATATTATTCGAAATATTTTAAAATTAAACATTCGGCATTCAGTATGCTTGTACAAAACGTTTCTCTGCAGTGCGAGCGATTTATATGTCAATCACGTGAAGCAAGGGAATTGATCTTCTATTAGCTTTCTTTCTCGATATCCATAGTGTTGAAACGTAACGCCATCATCCTCCCATCTGTAGCCTTACCCTACCCCCCTTCCGTTTTCGAATAGACTTCTCTCGATTCCGTGCGCGGGTCCAGCGGTGCCCATCTTCATGTCGACGCGTCTGTTGCAGTACATCAACGGCGGGTCGCTGGAGCAGCTGATTCAGAACCGGTCGCTCGATCTGCCGCATTCGACACGCATCGCACTGGCGCGGGACATCGCCAGCGGCCTGGAGTACCTGCACGGACGCGGCGTCTTCCACCGCGACCTCACGTCCAAGGTATATAGCTGCCGCCGCCGCCGCCGGGACCGGGCTATTCATAGACACGCGTGGGCGGGGCCCTCCTTCCGTCCACCCCGCGCCCCGCGACCCCCTCGCGCCCCTTGCCGCTCTACGCCCTCGGCGCGTCCGACCGTAAAAATACGCTTCTGGGGGAAAACAAGCCCGGCGGTGTTTGCCGCTGCGTAATGGCTCCACGCCGCACCGCGGCCGATGCGAGTGCGAGCTTGAGTACGCAAGGCGCCGTTTGGCATGCGAACGCTGGCAGTCTCCCTTGTGGATATTTACGAAAAATAACAAAATAGAAACTAATAATAGTAACAATAATAAAAAAACGGAAATTAAATTTAAAAATTGTTTAGCTAAATAGGCAAAAGGTGTGTAAAAGGGAGGGGACATGACTACTTGATAATTCTGAAGGGGTCCCCTAGTTTTATGTAATGAAAAAAATTTCGAGTCCCGATTACTTACCTTTTTAACCTTAATTTGGGGAATTCATATTCATTTGACAAAAATGCTTTTCAAACCACCAGGTAACTCTTTGAGTGGTTCAAAATTGAATGTTTTATGCATTTTCAAGTAAAATAGGTCATAAGTTTAAAAAAAAAAAAAAATGAAATAGAGGACCAGATGTGTAGTCCCCCTCCCCTTTTGTTTAGGCTGTGTACGCCTATGACAGTAGCAAATTATCTCTCTCACAAGAGAGGAAATTACTTTATTATGCCACTGAATGGGGAGCGATGTGGAATTCATTGAAAGCATTCCATTGTTTTTGATTCTTAACAAATAAATTTAATTCTTGATTAAAGAACAAAAAAAAATAAAGATTATTTATTTATTGGAAAGTTAAGTGTATGTGATCATTGTGGGTAAATGCTAATAATGACGTTTTCCATGTATAAACATTTTACATCAGTGGCACACTCTAGGCTTACTCTGGAGTGTGGTCATCCAGGAGCAGCAATTTCCAAACAGTAAAAGGGAGAACAATATTTCCATCAAAGGCTCGTTTGGTATTGAAAATAAGTCGTTTTGATATTGAAAACCATCCTTTTTGTAGGATGCTCTAAATCAAAGAAATCTGGTAAAGATCAGCCTAATTGCACTGACATTAATAAAAAAATGTTTAAAAATTATGCGCTTTAAAAGTCATGTTCAGTTTGTGGAACACCTTAATTAAAATACATTTTGTTTCATATTTAAATCAAACATATTTAAAGAATTATTTTCAAATACACTACTTCAATCAAAACTTCTAGGGTGTCTTCAAACAGCCTAGGGGAGTTTTTGTGAGAAATCTCACGTCTTTTATAATTTTAACAATTTTAACTGCTGATTATTATTCTGAAACTGTGGGGGTAATATATTTTGTTATAATTAAAATTGATGAAAAATGATCTTGTGATTTTTAGTGTTGGAAATAAATATTTGATAAAAATTTAAATGAACTTTATTTTACAGAATGTCCTCATAAGGAAAGGTGACAATGGGCCTCTTGATTTAACTGCTGTAGTAGGAGATTTTGGATTGGCTGCCAAGATTCCAGATCCAGTGTAAGTTCATAATTATACAGGAAGTCTTCTTTTAAAATATCTCTGAAACCTTGGTTCAATAGGTACTTAATAAAATGTTTATAAAAATTTTCTAATTATTCCTGCTGAAATTAAAATTAATAGTTTGTATATAGGTTGTACATAGTTGGTAGATATTAGATGGAAAATAATCAAGAACATGTTTTCAAGAAATGTTCTGAAAAATTATCTGCTTAACATATTCACTTTAATGATTTACCGTATTAACTCAAGTATAAGTAGACACTGAATATAAGATGACCCCTAATTTTGAAGAGACATCCTAAGAACTTTTTAAATTTTTAACTAATTCTTAATATTTATTCAAATAAAATTGCAAATTGTCTTATTGACTAGAAAATTTCCTTGTTGAAAAGGTTAGGAATCATTGCTGAAATATTGTTTTCTTGTTCCTTAAAATCATAATGATGGTGTTTGTCACTACACTCGTCATCTTCACATCAATGTTATTTTTGGTCCTCCTTTCATGCTGGGACATCTTTTGACTTTTTAGTCCTATCTGAAAGTTTTGCGGTCTAAATTTGGCGTTGTGCATAGTTTTTCGTGAGATGCCACCTAAGAACATTCCCTTGTATATCGCCAGCTGTACTATTAGCACCGCACTTATTGATGGCATCTGTTTCTTTAACTGTTCAAAACGCAAATTCGCATTCGCCGGGCGTCGAACCGAGATTCCGCTCGCACCCGCATCGTGTAACAAAATCTCGGCATTCATTTTCGCGTTAGGTTTTATTTCACAATGTCATTCATTTGAAATTCTCTTTAAAAGCCATTCAAAAATATCGGGCTGGATTGCCCTCAAATTGGCGGTGGCTGACGAGAATACAAACGCGAATATAATTTCGTACTGATTCGCGACTCTTATACTCGCGATATTTTTCAGTCTTCGCGTTTATTGTTACGTCTACATTTACGAGTTTAGTGACATGGAATGACAATGAAAAACTTAAACCGTAAACGACTAGGCTTAATCTGCGAATATAAACGTCTCCATGTTTTCCGAGATGTTACGGAGAAAGTCTTATATTTGGGTCAATACGGTAGGCCTCCTTTCAATCTTCTTCAGTTCCCAAATATAACTTTTGTTTGATCATTTTATTATATTGATATTCGTTGTTATATTTTTACTTGCTTTCTTTTATCAGGAGTGGCTATCGGCTTCCCACTGTGGGTTCCTTTTACTGGATGTCACCAGAATGTCTCAAAGGGCAGTGGTATAATGAAAAATCTGATGTCTTTTCATACGGCATTGTCCTCTGTGAGCTAATAGCTCGCATTGAGGCAGATCCAGATTTTCTGCCTCGTACAGAAAATTTTGGCCTAGACTATTTAGCATTCAGTGCTATGGTGGGGAGTTGCCCTCCTGATTTCCTAAAACTAGCCTTCCATTGCTGTACGGTGAGTAGTCATTGTAATTTATTCAAGTTTTAGCTGTTGATAGTTGATTTTTCTTGTGTGTTTTGGTGTATAGAAACTTTGTTTCAAATTATCATCTGTTTAAGTGCCCTTCATGCTGAATCTTAAGTGATGAAACTCTATTCCAATGAGTGTGAATTTGGCCAGTGGGCCGTAGTTAGTCTTACTAACTTTTAACCATTAAAATATAACGATTACTCTAAATATCAATTTTGTACTTAACTAAAGTAATTTTGTAAATGGTGTGAACTGCGGAAAATCTTCATAGCAAAAAGTGCTATATAAGAATGCAAGACAAATTATAATTGATTTTAAATCTGAATGAAAATCTGAATCTTATTTACAAATCTGTAATATTTGTCAAAACAGACTTGCTTAATGGTAGGAACATATTTTCATGCAATACTGATATTTATAATTACAACACATGTCGTAGAAATCGCATTCATCAAGTGTCTGTATCAACAGCTCACTACCAGAAATCCACTTACAATACATGTACATTACTTTACAACTCATTGCCAGTTGCCATGAAACAATTGAAGTCAGTACCATAAATTTAAGTTAAAAGTAAAATGTTTTCTGCTGCATAACTGTTTGTACAATTAGAGACAATATCAATTAGAGACAAATACCAACACAAATTTTATAATTATAACTGCTTTTCATACAGGTATATCATGTCCCAACAATAAAATGTTATTCACAAACATTAGCTCGTGAGTCATTGATACACTTCAATCTGATATTCCCTGAAGGCTAACTTTTTTTTCATTCTCGCACTTAAGAAGGAACTGATCATCAAAAAGAAAAAGGTTTATTTTACAAAACGGTGATATATAATGAATTAGTTTACATTTGTATTGAATCTGTTTTTTAAAAAGACTTAATAGGCTTGTAACAAATAATGTACTTCAGCTTCTGGGTCAATGACCCCCTATCTTCATTAGGTGTTTTCCAGTTTTCCTGATACATTGAGCAAAGACTGAGATGGCCCCTTATTTTGCTTCTGGACGTAAATGTAGCTTCACTAAGCACATGTTTTCTTGAAATCTCCTTTTGCTTGTAGTGGTAGGAGAAGAGGTAAGAGCAAGTTACTATTTTGTTAGCAATGCAGAAAGTAAATTTGCTGTTCATTTACTGTTGCAAATACGTTTTCTATAATTCAGGAAAGAAAACGTCACCAATCGCTTTTTCAAATGTCGCTAATCTCGTGATTTTTTTTAAATTTTATTTTTATTAATATAACTTTTACTTATCTGACAACTGTTTATAGTTAAAATGATAAGATAGGATTTTGGAACTCAAGAAAACATAAGCAGATGATCTTCTCCCCCATACGTCACATACAGTTTTCACTGTTTTTTGACTAAATAAATTAAATATAATTCTAAATGCAATTGTGTGTAATCAAAATCAAATGAACTAGTGGATTATTATTATTATTATTATTATTATTATTATTATTATTATTATTATTATTAATTTATTAATAGTGGCAGCAACAAGCTATTGTACACATATCATTACATTGGTGTAAAATAAAGTTTTACAATAAATAATTTTCATAGAGTAATACAGTTATAATTGGATCACAATTACAAATCACAGATAATAACACTTGTGTATTTTATCATCATTCAATTGATCACAAAAAATTGACTGTTCAGACAATCCTTAAAGGCGCTCAGTCTCCTTTTGTATACAAAGTGCGGGAAGTATATTCCATGTATTTACAAGTCAGTTTACAATAAAATGAGCAAGTTGTCCTGTCCTTGTCTGGATGATGTAATTTTCACATATCTGTCAATTTAAATTTGTTAATGTTTAATAATCATTTATATTTTGACACAAGAATTAAATATCTCTTTAATAAACGGTTATTAAAACTTCCAGTTAATGCTTATAAATTAGTTTTCTTTTAACTTTTTAAGTACATTTAAAAATTGGCATGACAAAATGAATTATTTCATTACATGGATATAATTTATGTAATTGCAATAAAGGAAACTATTATTAAGCTGAGATAAACATTGAGTGAATTTAATGTTTGTGCTATTCTACCACATCTAATAGTTATTGTTAAACATACTAATCTGAGCTTGTGAAATTATTCTTATTTTTTCGAATTTGTTCAATTTTCATTTCTTGTACATATGCAAGGTGCCCTCAATCATCTTTTTGTTCTTTTTAGTTTGAGCCAAAGAGTCGTCCTTCATTTGCTGAAATTGTTCCAAGATTGGGCCGCATACTAGCAGACTTGGAAACATCTCTTGTGGCAACTGAAGACAGAGATGAGGGTGCTCCCTGCTCCTTGCCTGTGGAGCCTCGCTCGGTTGGCAGCTTGGGTCCTGGAGCTCGGAGTGAGGAAGTAATCCCAGCAATTGTTACAGGCGCAACAACAGGAAATGATCCTACACGCAGACGCAAATGTAAGTCTCTCTCATTCATTAGTGCTAGTGTGCTTCTTTCTGAGTGGAAATGTGCATCAGAACATCGTGCCATTTTAATTGCCAATAAAAACATAATTCTTCAACAGCAATAATGCTTGTAAAGATAAGTTACACATGCTCACTTAATTCTGCAAAAAGTATTACCTATAATCATGAGATTATGACATACCTAATCTCGTGTTAATGTACTTGAATTTATAGAGATGGAAAAATAATTTCATAGTGGTTGTAAACATACTGTGAGTTATGTGTATACAAGATACATTGTGAAAATGTCAAAAATTGTATTAAAAAAAATCTTGTAAGAACTACTTTAATAAATGTAACTGTCCAAATTTTTTTTAATGTTTAATTCACTCTTTAATATTGATAAGTAATTTTTGATGTTCTCTTTCATATGGGAGTGTAAAATTCATTACAGTATTATATTTGCTTTTCATTTCATGAAGTATGTTCTTCTTTTCAGTGAGCCATCGACGATCTTTATCTGAGGATGTTATTCCACCACACACGGCTCCATCAGACAAGGCTCGCTGCCATCAGATGCTTATGTCTCCACAAACAGTTGGTGAAACTTGGAGTAGAAAAGATCCTCACTATAGGCCATTGCCTGTGCCTCGTTCAAATCCATTTGCTGCACTTGCCCAACTTCGAGGTGTTCGCAAAATCATTACAGGTGCAGATCTTTTTTCCTCCTGTGTAGAACTTCCCAATCCTCCTCCTACACCTACTTCAGCATCAACAGAAAATGGCCTGCCTCCTGCGAGATCTTTACCTGTGTCCCCAACCCTTCCTAGAAGGACTCCAACTTCTCCATCTAAGGTCAAAACCTCATCCCCTGCTGACACTAATTTTCCTTGTTGTTCCTCCGGTTTAGTACTTCCAGATACGTTGGGTCCAACTTCTACCCCACTTGTTGGAGGAAGGGAAGCTGGTGATAATATGCCATGTCACAGTCTTCTAAAATCTGGCCCTGAGAAACTTGTATCAGTCTCAGAGCCTCCAGGAACAAAATGTTCTCCTCCTAGTGTCCCTAGTGTAAATGTGACAGAAGGACAAGAAAGTGTTCCATCTTTTCTTCCCTCTTCTCCATTGTTCATTGATGAGAGTAGAATGACACCCATGCGGTTCACCAACTTAAGTAAATGCCCTTCTCACATGGGAGAGACATGTTGTAGGATGCTTTCATCAAGTCCAACTCTTTTACCAGAAGATGAAATGGGATGCTTATCAAACCATTTATCAGAAGAGTTGGATGTTATTACCAATGTTGGAGGATCAGTTGGTGGCAATATACTACCGAGAGGCTGTACCTCTTCTTTGAACCTCTCTTCAGAACTTGATGGCAGCAGAACTAGTGCACTGACTACTCCTGGAGTAAATGGCAGCAGCTGCCTTTTTGCAAGAGGTTATGCTTCAAGCCTTAATCTTTTGACAGAAGAACCTGATCCAAACATATCAGACTCTTCCAGATTGAGACGGCGTGGTTCATGCGAATCAGGATTTTTTAGTAGTGCGGGAGAAGACCTTGTTGTCCCAGGTAATCCACATGCCACTGCTACTGCATCCTCCTCTGCAACGCTCTCCTCCTCTTCTGCTGCATCGTCACTGTTTCTCCTAGATGACTCTTCATCAACGGAAGAACAGCCATTCAGACACCCCTCCCTCTTATTTTCTGCATCAAAACGGGCTTCCTCAGTTTATACAGACAGCTCTGAAGATGTGTCAAGTTTGGGAGGAGAAGACAGGGGGCATATCAGTAAGATAGTTGAATATTTTGAACGTAGGGGACGAGGCATTGAGGACATGTGGGATTCTCCTGATCGCCACCAGCGGGACATGATGTTCCTAGGGTCTCGTGGCTCACCTGTGGATTTTGCACGGCGAATGGAAGGTGCAAGTTTAAATGATGCTATAGTGCGTTCATCAAAAATGGCTGCATTGCGCACATCATTAGAAAGAATGACTACAGCTGCAAATTCAGTGAGCCAGTGCAGTGCATCTCCTCTGAGCACTCCACTGGTGGGTGCACGACGCAACACAACAGCCACGCAACGGTTGATGATCTGTGAAGGGGCTGTCAAGTCTAAGTTGCCTCTATTTGATAAAAAATGAAGAGGAAATTGAGTAAAAGAACAAGTTGTACTGAATGCACAGTACTGTTGCAAGTTTATGAACATTAAAATGCATTGGCTGGAACACGAATAACATTATTCCTCATACACGTTTATTTTGTGTGAATTCTTTTGTTTAGTATCAGAGTGGGAGATAATAGCTTGAGTTGATATTGAAATTTCAACCCTTAAGGTCAGTGTAATTCTGAAATCATAATTTGTTGAATGCTTGCAACAGTTTTTGTGCCATTCTGTGATTTGCTCAGGATAATTTTTAAATGAAAGCTGGCTTATTGTAAATGCAGAATCAACTTGTCCATCCTATTGCGGGATCTTTTCTCAGCCATTCTACACTTGTTAAGTGAACAACATTTGTACATATGAGTATGAATTATACATATACCAAAACTTTCTGAAAGAAAGTATGAGTGAACAAAGTACATCCAATGAGTTGTTTGAAATAACAATTCATTAACAAATCTTTGTTGGTAGCTTTCAGTATTCATATTTAGCAGTTCATGATGTATAGTTATTTGTTTCTATATGATGAATGAATCATCATATTTAGAACTTGCTAAAAACCTGGCAAATGGTTATGAGTTCTACATTAATTTTGGTGTAATTCCAGTGCCCTTAAATGAAGTATAAAATAAGGACATTGAAGATTATTATAATTTTTTTTACATCCGTTTGAAGTACATTTGTTGCAGATAATTTAAAACTTGAAAGTTGAACTGCATATCATGGACTGGAATGCTGATTAGCTTCTTTACTGCATAAAGATGTGGAAGGCTCCATCAAACCGTCCAATTTTTTTATTTGTATGTACTCAAATCAGGGTTTACATCTGGGCAATTTTCCTCTCTTGGGCCTATTGCTTTGTTTTCATTTAGTTTGTTTTGGCTGAGTCTTAAAAGCGCCATGTGATATGGTGCCAGTTCTGTATCAGAATGGGTCATGGGAATGGTTGATTTACAGTTTTATCTGTATTATTGGTATTGATACTCGTGGTATAAAAGTGTATATTTTTTAAAGATGTGAACTATGTACAGTATATGAAATTTTGATAGACTTAGAATATTTTATGACTGCTCAAAACAATCAGGAATAAGGAATGTCAGTTGACCTGAGGATATTAATGCCATTGTTGCTGTCATGATTTTTAAAATTCATTTTGTTACCCAACTGTAAATAATTTATGCTTTTGTATGATGCTGTATCTATAAATATCGATTTCGATATGCAAATTTTGATAATAGGATTTCAATATGCAAATTTTGATAATAGGAATTCTTTCTTTTGTTTATTCATTGCTTTGTAATGTTTTACATACTTCAATGAATGTTGTTGATGAAGTTTTCTATCTGTTTGTATCTTCGACAAGCTTCCTATAATCCTTAAAAAAAGTCACTTCTCCAGTGCTGGTTTAAGATTGCTGTTTATTTTATGGGGATCTTGTAGAAGCTAGTCATGGATACTGCAGCCTAAACAAAAAAAAAAATCATGTTTCCTAGAGTCCAAAATCTATTAGTTTAAGAAGTAAATACATAAATAATGAATGAACATCATGAAAAAGAAGTAATATGAGAAATCCTATTATTAGTAATTTAACTTCATGGTAAAAATTTATGTAAAATGTAGACAATCCTGTATTTAAAAAAAAAATTCTATCAGTATTGATTTCTCCCGTTTAGTTTGTAGCTCTTCTTTTAATTTATATCCCTAATCAAACACCAAAAATAGTGCATAGCACAGTCTATGCAAATAATTATGTTCCATGTAGAGCAGGTTACAGAGTTACAGGAACTGTTTAATTGCATTGTTATTGGACAGTCATCATTCATACGTTATATATCATTTCATGAATATGATACTATCAGTTTTTCTAAAACGGAATTTACTAGATGAAAAGATTTTAAAGTATTTTTATATGCAGAAGAGTGTATTTTATTACTTTCACCTTCCTGGAATTCACAGAATATGTGACTTTTACACTAAAATGCAAATACATTTCTGTGTTATATACACATACTGGACTCCATATTTGATATTACAGTGGTTGCAAATTGCAAATGTTAACTCGATATACAAAGATGTTTATCTTCAGAAGATGTATTATTACTCTTTTAAGCTGTTTTCATGCTTTGAGTTTTATGGTTTTTTGTTGCAAATATTTAAGATTACTTTCTAAGCTTCAACTGTCATCAATGCAATATCTGTCATCCTGTAGAATGATCTGTGCTTCCATGAGAACATAATCTGTGTCTCTTTCTGATTTAGAGTGTGAAAGCATTCCAAACTTGAAATTCAGTTGCAATTATCTGAAACACTTTTATCAGATAAAATTCTATGTAATTTATCTAGTTTTGGGTTTTCTGATAAAGTAGCAGAATATATTAGATTGTCTGAACTTTAATAGGATCCTAGAAAATATTATCCGATGGTAAGTATCCACAGTTTGTTTCGTGGATACCAGAAGTGTACGGAAATTCATTTTGTATTTGCTCCTAAGTAAACAAGTGAAATTATCTCTACAGCATCATCCATACAAAGTGTCAGATCATAGGTATGCATTGGCATGTATTGACACATTTTTGACAGTACATATCATACATTCAAATTATTAAACAGGGATGTGAAGGAGGACATGTCTGCACTGAGTGCCTTGTAACCTGTTAATGAGCTGTTGTAATTTGATTTGTGTTCCAAAGCTAATCATTTTTCCTGATGGTTTTGAAATTATAAAGCTATTTTAAAAAATAGCTCAATTTCAAAACTCAGTAGTCCTCTTCCGTTTCATGATGGAATCTTTTTATTATTATTATTATTATTATTATTATTATTATTATTATTATTATTATTATTATTATTATTGTATATTAAAAATCTTTGCAGTATTGAAATTTTTTCTTTCCAAGCTGAAAGTATCAGGCATTTTTGTTACTGCTGTCTATTGCCTTCTACTAAAAGATAGTGATTGAGATTATTCATAAGAAAGTAACTGAAAAAAGGCATTAATATTGCCATAATTCCTATGTAAATAGTGTTGATTTTTATTTTTTTTCCATGTTGCTTTTGGCAAATGTCTGATGTATTCTTTTACTTTCTGTTTTTAATTTCATCTTTGTGTATCTATGTACAACCCAAAGATTTCCACGAGAGAGAATGAACTAAAGAAACTTGTAGCAGTACACTTTTATTGCTTTTGGCACGTTTGAAATTTAATTGATTTGCTTTTCAAGATTAGATAGTTTTAACAATTTTAATTTTCCCTAACAAAATTATTTTTTTTCTTTTGAAAATAACCATTGCAGTATTGGAAGTTAACAAGGCAGCTTAATGTATTTATTTTTGTATGATGACGTGTCCATTTCAGTATACAGATTTTTAAGGAATTGTTGTGAATGCCTGTTTCAGATTGTGTGGTGTTTATTTTTTTTCCTCCATTTCAGAAGACTTAAGTTGGTAATTTTATTTTCTAACATATCTTCTAGTCATTGTGTTTCAGCAGAAGAAGTTTGAATGTTTGCATAATATATACTGTATAATAAAATTACCTGATAGTTTACTGAAGCAATATTATATTTGAAAGAAAATAAAATTAAGTTTTCTTGTAATCACTGTTATGATTCCATAACCATAACCCTTGTTATTCTCAAATTTCTTTCGTGTAAAGATTTCATGGTCATCTAATAATACAATTGAAACTAATTTAAAATGCATTTTGTTCCAGGTCATAATGTACAATTTCTATTAAACTTACAAAAATGTGTGCAGGCCTTTCACTGACTTTGGAGGCATGATGAATAAAGTTTTACAGTTGCACTAAGCCTTTCATAGTTCTTTGGTCACTTTGTCATTTTGCAGGCACTTTTTTAATTAATTTATTTATTTAGTAAAACGTGTGTGCCAGGGATAATAGTTAAAATTGACATACCTATTTTGAAGGGTAATATTTGGATTGAGGTGCTACTTACAAAGTACAGATAAATAGAAACCAAACATTCAGAGCCCAATATATTCAATGCACAAACAATGTATTCAATTATTCTAATAAAAGGTTTATTTTTGAAGGGCCATCAGTTGTCTGAGAAATCAAGAAAAAACTTCTAAATGCAAGGTAGAAAAATGTGAGCATGGCCAGATTAATGTTTCAAGGGCTGAATGAACCACTTCTCAAGAATTGAATAGAAAAAATGAATATGAATGCAAAAGCTAGCTATTAACTTCATAATTTTCAAAATTAATATTAAAATATTTTAAATATTTATGAACTCTTATAGAAGGTTGTTCAAAAAGTTAGTGGAGTTGCTAAGCAAGTGCTTAGTATGCTTATGTAATAATCCACTGCTGAATGTAAGTAATTATATTGAAACTACCAAATTATACGATTCAAATGTGATTGTCAGACAAAATTCTGTTGGTACATAGCTTCTACAACATGTAAGTAACCACCAATTTTTGCCAACCATATTCACATTGCCATCTATTGAAACTAGAGACCTACCAGATCCCCGAGGTCACTATTGCTTCCCTGGGAACTCTGTACCAGTGAAGAGCCTCCCTGTGCTCCTCGAACATTACACAGAGGTAGCTCTGAGTTCCATCTCAGTGCTGACAACTACGGGGTGGATTTTGATGATCTAAAACATTGCAAAAAATGATTAGTAAAATGCTGTTAAAATGCTTTAAAAGTGCCCTAAAAACAAAGAAAAATAACGTTAAAAAAATTGGTCAAAACCACTTTGGATGAACAACTCAAGCTGTTGAATATGTTACGGATGTAATCAAAGCATCTTTCTTTTGTTTATGTGAACACAGCTTGCAAACTTTGGGTTTGAACTGTTCTTTAAAAGCAAATCTCTGCCTTTATCACAAAATCAGCCGAGCTGACAATCACCAAGAAACTTCACAGGAACCTTAGATTGTTGTACTCCCAATGGCTAACATTACAATATATGAGCAAAGAAATTGAATACTTGGGAATTCTGTGGTGTACATTTGTTGCAACTTCAAATATTGTTTGAAGCATATACCATTAAAGTGATATTGAAATCTGTGAAAAGTGCAGTAGAAATGACAAAAAAAAAAAAAAAAAAAAAAAAAAGGAAATTTAAAAAAATTAAGTCATTAGTTGAAATCAACAAAAAATTCAAAAAAAGAGGCACATAAATGGGTCATTTCATTTCATCATAACATAAAATGATTTCTACACTAAACAAAATTGTTCTAAAGTGAAAAAAAAAAAAAAAAATAATAAAATCAACCCCTACTGAACCATTTTAACAGGTGTAGGGAACCGGTTCCTCATTTATGCTCACAGATTTCGCAGACACAGTTGCAGGTCAGGGCCAGGAATTAGGGTGTACAGTTGATACTGGGCATGGGCAGGAGGTCTGGCTGACCGAAATTGAACAAATACGTTTCACTCTCAAGCTCCTCTGCTAACCTGTCAGATCAGAAATGGCAGGTTATGATAGAAAAGTCATCCAGGTTGTTGTTCTTTACTTACCATTTTAAAATATTTTCACAGTACTAACTGTTCTTCAGGCATGTGATGTCTTAGGTTTTTCAAATTCTTAATTTTATTTCATTTGATAATAACCTTCCATCAATGGATAAACTAGTTTTTAGTGGGTAGTACGCTAGGTAGAGGTGTTAATTAAGTGTTACATTACATTTTGTTTTTTTATTTTTCAACATTTGCTGAAATAATTCCTTTTTTTCAGTCATACAATAAAACATTAAAATATTAAATTACAAAAGTTCTGATGTATAAATGTTTACAGTAATTGAAAATATTTTTTCATCAGTGGTGTATTGATTGAATCTTAGATTACAAAAAAAATATTTGATACTGATCTATAATGTATTCGAGAATACAATTAAATTGGCGTAGTAGATTCTTGCCCTTGTGTCTTTCACAACAAATGTACTAGTCAAATATGTTCCCACCAATCCTTTCTCTTTTCATATGAAAATTGTTCCCCAGTCTAATTGATAGGTGCAGTCAGTATCACAGTTAATTCTTACTTTAATTATTATTAATTTTAATCTATAACACAATCAATATTAATACAAATTGTTTTCACTGTTATATAATTTATTTTTACTTTTGGTAAATGACAGGGATGGGGTCAAGCATTACATAATTATTTAGTGGAGGTTCAAACACACTTTACAAGTGGAGGAGTATTTAAAATGTTCCAAGTTTGCATTACATTATTTATGGTCAGCCCCTTTCCTTGCTTTATTACTAGAGTTGGGATGCTTTTGTAAGCTTGTATCTTTGAAATATGCTCCAAAAATGAAATACATACAGATATTAAAATATGCAATGTTCAATTACAAAGACTTATATTTTGCAATAACTTTTACATATTTTTGTCACTTAGAGAAAGAAGGTACACACAACTAATTTGCGTACATCTTCTTTGTAAGGAAGTAAATATGCTTTTAATTATTAAAAACGCCTATCTAATTTTCTTTCTGGAAATTATTTGCACATTTGTAATTACAGTGGTGTATTATTTTCTTTCTGAAAATTAATTGCACATTTGCAATTGTTTTGGAACCACTGCTTGAATTTTGAACTTAAAAGTACATATGAAGCAAAACAGAATTAAAGAAGGTTAGATGCTATTCATCTGTATGTATCGTGTATGGTAATTGATCTGGATATGCAGATAAATGATTTTAACGCATAACTGTATGTCATTTATCTTCTTAAATAAAGTGTGATGTTTGGAAAATTTCATTTTATCATTGTATTGACATGCATGAATTCATAAGGTAAATATGTTAATACTCAATTATTATTCAACCCCAACCCCGAGACCCCGACGGCAAGAAAACCCAACTACTCAACTAATATTCAACCACTGACAAACTTTATAGAGAAATTCCAAGAACACAACCTCCCATTATATCTAGCAGTTATAGACTATGAGAAAACATTCCACTCTGTAGAACAAATCTGTATATTGAAAGCTTTAAAAGAAATTAGAATAGAAGACTAATACATAACCATACTATCAAAAATATATGTGACAAATAAAGCAAGAATCAAAACCGAAAGAGATGGAAGAGAAGTCAGTCAGGGTGACCCACTGTCCCCCAAGTTATTCATCTGTCTAGTAGAGTATCTATTTCATAAGAAGATAATCAAGAATGGGGTGAAAATCGACAGACGCAAACTATCAAATCTGAGATTTGCTGATGATATAGTTTTATCAGGTAACACACATCAAACACGCTTCATAAACTACGCTTCAAGAACTAAACACACACAGTAAGAAAATTGGGTTAAAAATAAACTTTGGCAAAACAAAAATAATGACAAAGAGAGAAGGGAAATAAATAATAATACAGAACAAAATAATAGAATATGTTCATGAATACATATATCTTGGACAAACAATATCCTTTAATAAGAAAAATGATAAAATAATTAATAGAAACATTTCAGCAGCATGGAAAAAATTCTGGAGCTTGAATTTTATTCTTTTAAACAAAATATTAGCATAAAAATGAAAAAGAACGTAATTGACATCTGCATTCAACCTGTTCTGACGTACGGTGACAAATCTTGTCTTTGACAAGGAAAAAGCAAAATTCTATAAAACTATGGCAAAGGAGCTAGGAAAGAAAAATTCTTCGAATCTTTTACAAATAAAATTAGAAATGAAGAAATACGAAAAACACAAATAAAAGATATAATGCTGACTGCTCATCAACTAAAATGGAAGTGGGGAGGCTACATCTCAAGACTCCAAGATGACAGATGGACATCTAGAACTACTTTGTGGGAGCAACGAATAGAGAAGAGGAATGTTGGTAGACAATATCGTAGATGGTCATCGGAATGGATCGTATCTAGGTCATCGATGGTCAAGAGTTGCGAAAGACCGTACAAAATGGAACGAATTGGTAAAATCCATTAAAACCAGCGTTTAATGACTTATCCATGTAATATCCTCGAGGTGGCTGCTCGAGCACCAACTTTATAATGTAAGTATCCGTGTCCTAATAGGGTTTAACGGGCTAATAATAATAATAATAATTATTATTATTATTATTATTATTATTATTATTATTATTATTTAATAATATCCCCATGTAGTGTCGGGAATTTTAAATAGAATAAGCACCACGGGACCTCCCCCTGTCGTAGAAGGCGACTAATCGGAGCAGCTGTCCGCTGTCACTCCCTAAATATCCGTCATTTCCACAAACCTGTGGTGTCATTGCTTCCACTTACTTGTGGCACACATCTGTTTTCTGTCCTGTAGGCCAATCTTGTATGAGCCAACTCTTGTGTTTCCGCCCCGACGCTATTAGTTTGCGAGGACTAGGGAGTCGTTTCCATTCTACCCTTCTATTCTAACTCTAATCTTCTCTGTCCCCCCTTGTTTCTTCCGTTTCTTTAAGCTGGAGGATCTGTCAGGATCGACAGTTGCGGTGCAGGGGATCGGAGCCCCAGTACCGGCGGTCGGTGGTGTGCAAGCAGGCCACCGGGCGTCACCCAGCGACTGCAATGCCAGGGGTGCGGATCACTCGGCACCGCTGGCAAATAGTGCTACGAGTGCAAGCTTCGCGGGACTCGTATGGAAGTCTGCGAACATAGGGTTGAGGGATCCCGTAAAAACCCTCGTCCAGAAAAAAGCCCGGAGTTCAATGCTAAAAGAATGAAAGTTGGAAAATCAACAAACTATGATGACCTGTTCAAGAACACCGCAGCAGTACCAAAGTACCTTACAGTAAAAAGAACTGAAGGAAGTTTTGATAAAGTGAGCCCGTTTATAAAAGAGAGGAGTATTAGTACCTGCGCTGGATCTGCCGTAAAAGACGTACAGAAAACTTCATCTGGACTCTTGGTAGAAACAGTTAATGACAATCAAGGTAAAAAGTTACTAGAATTGAAGAAAATAGGCACTATAGATGTTGAAGTAAGTGCTCACGGCACGCTGCATACCCGCAAAGGTGTTGCAGTTTGTAGTGACTTACTAAACTGCAGTGAAGAGGAAATAGTTCAAGAACTAGCTTCTCAAGGAGTCATTGCCTGTCGTAGGCTAACAATGAGTCGGGATGGGCAGATAATTCCTTCAGCGTCCCATGACCTGACGTTCAAGCGTTGTACGTTACCAGAGAAGATCAAAGCAGGCATTC